TCGTGTAGTTATTGCTACGGTGTCGGAATCCGAATCAGACAGAAACGATGCTGTAATCTGGGGTCAGTTTTCGATCTTTGATTGCCCCCGTCGGTCTCCATTACTGCTTCTCTTATCATTTACCAAATTCACATCCCCAGAAAAACAAAAATCCTTCCTTTTTCTCTGCGTGGCTTGCGTGTTACTTAATCACTCACGAGGGTGGAGAAAAGGAAAGTGCTTTGGCTTCGGACGAATCTCACTTTGCCAAATTCCACTCCCTGTCTCTAGGGTTACTCTCTGTTGCGATTTCTTCCCCGTCTTTGTATTGCCCATTCGCTCCTCTGCAAGAAGTGAGTTCTTTTTTTTTTTTTGCTCTTGGCTGTTCATGTTTTGCTAATTGAGTATAATGATTTTCGTTCTTTTCTCTTTAGCTCTCTGGATTTCGTTCTTTTGTATGGGGATACATTGAGTCGTAGCTTTGGAAATTTCTTGGGATGTCAAGCAAAAAAGGGAACTTTTTTATTCCCTGATTTGTTTTGACGGTTCTGTTCTTCTTCTGTTTTCTCTTTTCCAATTTTCTGCTCCGAATTTTGTAGTTTTTGTGCCTGTGGAGTTCAATTGATTCGAGTACCGATAAATTTTGAAACTTTGTGTTCTGGGTTTGTTGCGAAGCCTATTCTAGTTTCATATTCTGTATAATTCAAGAAAAATATATTCGTTTTTTTTTTTGGATTCTATGAAGAACCCGGTTTGGTGTTATGGAAAATGGTTCAAAAGCTCGAATCTTTAGAACTGAAACTCCCCAGGATCTTGGTTTTTATAGAGATTTTGACTTGGTTCTTCGCGTAGTCTTATAGTATAACAGCCTTTCATATCAGCTTTCAGGTCAGATTTCAAGTTGCGGAGGAAGAAGTTTATATATATATAAATGGCAACACTTCTGGATATCGGAGTCTCAGCAGGGATAAACATCCTCACCGCCTTCATATTCTTCGTAGTATTCGCGATTCTGAGGCTTCAGCCCTTCAACGACAGAGTTTACTTCTCGAAATGGTACCTGAAACGGCTAAGGAGCAGCCCTACCCATGGCGGCGCCTTTGTGAGCCGTTTCGTGAACTTGGACTTGAGATCATACTTGAGGTTCTTGAACTGGATGCCTGAGGCTCTCAAGATGCCTGAGCCTGAGCTCATCGATCATGCTGGCTTGGATTCCGTCGTCTATCTCCGGATTTACTGGCTCGGGTAATGATTTTACTTTTATGGGTTTTTTTCCTTTCTGGTTTTGCAATCTTGAAAAATTAGAGGTTTCACCGTTTCAGTGTCTAGTTCATGAGCAAGGCTATATATATATATATATATAGCCATACATGCTATATTTAGCATCTGTTATAGGAAAAAAAACTAAAGTTTCTGACTTTGACAGAAACTCGAAACTTGTTGAACTGATTTACTTGCTTCTCAGTGGAGAGCCTGAAGTAAATGAGTTTGAAGTTATATATCTGTGTAGAATATAATCTTGAAACATAGACTGATATTGTAGCTTCAGTTGATCGGCAGAAACATGGGGAAGCAACTCATATATTGTCTTTGTCAACAGTGTTTGTCGGTAATTTTTGTATCGGGTCGGCTTTTCTTGATACAGAGCCGGTGTTTCTTTGTATGCAGGCTTAAGATTTTTGCTCCAATAGCTTTGGTCGCATGGGCGATTCTTGTACCAGTCAACTGGACGAACAACACGTTACAACTGGCGAAAGAGTTGAAAAATGTGACCTCGAGCGACATTGACAAACTATCAATCTCAAATATTGCAGAGGGTTCAGATAGGTTAGTTTGATCGGAACTTTCTCTACTATTTTCGATTTTTTATGTTTCTCCCATGTTTATAGAGTTTTGTCAGGTCAGACCTCAAGCCTTTTTCTTGATATTTTTCCAGGTTTTGGACTCATATTGTAATGGCTTATGCCTTCACCTTCTGGACTTGTTACATGTTGATGAAGGAATACGAGACAATTGCTAACATGAGGCTCCAGTTTCTTGCATCAGAAGGCCGTCGGCCCGACCAGTTCACCGTAAGATCTGTTTTTTCCCCCTCACTTGGATCTTTGCTAGTGAACAACTTGTTTTGCGTGTAAAGTTACTGCCATCGGTCTAATATGATTGGGATTTTCGGTAGGTGCTTGTTAGGAATGTACCACCCGACCCCGATGAATCTATAACTGAGCTGGTGGAGCATTTTTTCCTGGTCAATCATCCGGATCATTACTTGACACATCAGGTAAATTTCATTGGCGAAGAATTATGTGAGTTTTTTTTGGTTGATTTTTGTTACTCATGAGCTGAAAGAAATGACTGAAAACAGACATTGATGAGATTATGGTTTCCCGGTTTGAAGTATGCGGATTACGTTATGCTTCTCGGGTTTATAATTTTTTAACGATTCTGAAAATTCACGCAGGTCGTATGCAATGCAAACAAGCTGGCAGATCTGGTTAAAAAGAAGAAGAAGCTGCAGAATTGGCTTGATTACTACCAGCTCAGATACTCTAGGAACAACACAAAGAGACCTTTGGTGAAGGTACCGAAAATGAAAGGCTCGAAAAACTGACTTTGTTTGCTTGCCCTTTTTCTGTTTAGTGATACTTTTCGCGACAATCGTTGATCAAACAGCTCGGCTTCCTCGGGCTGTGGGGGCAACAAGTAGATGCCATCGAACATTACGCTGCTGAAATCGAGAAGACGTCAAAAGAAGTAAACTTTTCTCTGTTTCCGGTATCTGTTTTCTTTGCCATATGATCATAGACTGTCTCGCTAACCTTTCTTCGTTTTTAGATTGCTGAAGAAAGAGAGACGGTGGTGAATGACCCCAAGTCCATAATGCCGGCAGCTTTTGTCTCCTTCAAGACCCGATGGGCAGCAGCCGTTTGTGCTCAGACCCAACAGACCAGAAACCCGACTGAATGGTTAACCGAGTGGGCTCCCGAGCCACGTGATGTGTTCTGGCCGAATCTTGCAATGCCTTACGTTTCTCTGACTATAAGGAGGTTGATCATGCATGTTGCCTTCTTCTTCCTCACCTTTTTCTTCATGATTCCCATCACTTTCGTACAATCTCTTGCTACCATCGAGGGTATCGAAAAGGTGGCCCCTTTCTTGAAGGTTATTATCGAGAAGTGAGTAACTCCTTCTTTTAACTTTCGTCCCTCCGGTAGAACTTGGCCAGTTGGTTTTTTTTCCTGTACTTTTTGACTCACCTGGCGCTGTTCGCGGTTTTCCTGTAGGAAATTTATAAAATCAGTGATACAAGGGTTTTTACCTGGTATAGTGCTGAAGCTTTTCCTCATATTTCTGCCGACGATACTGATGATCATGTCCAAGTTTGAAGGCTTTACAGCTATATCGATCTTGGAGAGACGGTCCGCGTCTAGATACTACATCTTCAACTTGGTGAACGTCTTTCTTGGAAGTGTCATAGCCGGAGCTGCGTTCGAGCAGCTCAATTCTTTCATCCATCAATCCGCTAGCGAGTAAGCCATCCATCCTTATGGAAGGATTGTTGTTTCGTTTTTTTCTGGATACCAAAATTTTTCACACTTCTCTTCATCTTCGCAGAATTCCCCAGACCATTGGAGTGGCCATACCGATGAAAGCAACGTTCTTCATCACGTACATAATGGTGGATGGGTGGGCAGGAATTGCCGGAGAGATACTTATGCTGAAACCTCTCATAATATTCCACCTCAAAAACACGTTCTTGGTGAAGACGGAAAAGGACAGAGAGGAAGCCATGGATCCTGGAAGCATCGGCTTTAACACGGGCGAGCCTCGTATTCAGCTCTACTTCCTTCTCGGTCTCGTCTATGCATCTGTTACACCCATGCTTCTTCCTTTCATCTTGATCTTTTTCGGCCTGGCTTATGTTGTCTACCGCCATCAGGTAAAATATGATATAACCCATTATGAGTTTCCTCTACCGTGAAAAAAAAACGTTTTTTGTTTTTGTTTTCGGGTTCTTCTAAGACATCGTGTTTTCTCCTCTGAAACTCGTCTCAGATCATAAACGTGTATAACCAAGAGTACGAGAGCGGTGCAGCGTTCTGGCCCGATGTCCATGGACGCATCATCGCTGCATTGATCATCTCTCAGTTGCTTCTATTGGGCTTGTTAGGGACGAAACATGCAGCCATGTCGGCGCCTTTTCTCATCGCTCTGCCCGTTCTTACCCTTGGGTTCCACCGCTTCTGCAAAGGCCGTTTCGAGCCTGCCTTTGTCAAATACCCCTTACAGGTTAGCGAGCAACATTAAACACTTATCCTTTGTGTCCGGGCGTGGAACAGAAAGAGTGATGCTTTCGTATGTTTTTGTCGGTTTTTTCAGGAGGCGATGATGAAAGATACGTTGGAACGGGCACGAGAGCCGAATCTGAACCTGAAAGGTTACCTTCAGAACGCATACATCCATCCGGTGTTCAAAGGCGATGAAGACGACGATGATATTGACGACATGTTCGGGAAATTGGAGGACGAGGCAGTCACTGTGCCGACCAAACGCCAATCGCGGAGGAACACTCCGGCCCCGAGCAGAATCAGCGGCGAGGACTCACCGTCTCTGCTCGGAATCAGTAAAGAGCTATAGGCAGAAAGTTTCAAGAATGTGACATATTTATACACGTATGAATATGTACATATTATGCTATTTGTATTGTACAAATAGAGTAAGAGGATACGGGATACGGTTTCAGTGTGTCTGAATTCCAAATTTCTGTGGTCTTTCTGAAAGAACATCCTTTTACACTGGTGTAATCTTAAACCTCGAGACTGTGTGACTGTTTCAGACATGTCTTGAAGTAACTTGCGAAGACCAAACATTATACGATGTTCTGACAAAAAAAATCCACATGAAATCTTGAATTGTTTTCTTTCTTTGGAGCTCGAGCAAAACTGGGTCAAACCTAACCTGAAACAAAAACCCTAGTTCCATGTCTAGAGAACATCAGAGTTGACAGCAATGTCTTTCCATCCTCTCTGCCGAGCTCGAAGCTCCCACATGAAAGACATCCTTTTCTGCTCGTCGAGAGCTGCTTCCGCCTTCTCACGTGCCTCCTCGCATGTCTCCATTCCCATACTGCATTTATCTGCCTCTTTCTGGTACTGAGACGCGGCTTTCTTAGCGTCTAACAACGCTCTGTCCGCTCGCCACTCGTCTTCTTGAGCCTGCGCCTCTCTCAGCTTCAGTTCTTGAGCCACCATCTCTGTGAAACTTCTCTCGCTCTCTTCGCTTACTTCCAGGTCATGCTTCATGCAATCTGAAATCATCATAGAAACTTACAGATTCCGTAAATTTGCACCATGGGTTCTCAAGTATATGATGAAATATTATATGGAAGCTCATGACTTTTACAGATGGAGAGAAAGGTTTACCCAAGAAAGAGTGGTTGTTCAAACCTGCAGAAGAAACGTAAACGACGTCAGATCTATGGAGAAAGATGAGATCTTTTCGACTGTCTGATTCAATCCAAAGAGAAGAAGATAGTTTCTCTTTCAACAATCTAGAACCATTCCGAATCTTTTCACCAGAAAGATCACACCGATCACGACGACAACAAAACATAGGAAGAGACGAAGAAAGATGGAAGTATGTACCCTCGGGGATGGAGAGAAGAGGCTGAGAAGAACAGTCGCAGACACAAGGAGGGCAAGACGAACGGAGAGAGTGAGCGATGCTCTCGTTGAGATGCCAATACACAGGCGGTCCTGCGATATACACTATGATACACAGTCCCATCATGCCTGTCACCATCTTCGCCGTCTTCTTCTGCCTTCTACTCATCTCTCTCTCTCTCTCTCTCTGTTTTGATTTGTTAAAAATGGTGAAGACAGGGAGGTGGTGATGTCCGTTAACTAATTGGTAACTGATCTCCTTGATATTGGCCTAAAAATTGGATCTTTAAACTCACTTTGAAGACCTTCTTCCCAAGACAGAGTATTCCATTTTTAGCTTTCTAATACACTCAAGTGACTGACACGTCGCTCATGCCTCGTGCTCATTCAAACCACATTCACATTTCCTTGATATATTACGTTTTCTATGTTGGTCAGCGATTTGGAAACGCCGAATGCATTTGATGGTATTAGGTAAACTATATTATATATATATATACATATAAAACTGAAATAACCTTGACATTGAACTTGTAATAGTGAAATACACATGGTGTGCTCGAATCAAAGCACGCTCAGATATTAATTCTCGAAAAATCTTACATATATATATATATACACACTTATCTTATATACGAACGTATGTATGCATGTTATGCCCAACAAAATGGATATTATTATTAATATAATTATTGCCTTAAAACTACAGATATCTCAGTCCACGTCAAAAAAACCTGTTTTATAGGCGAAGCATTTGGTCCGGTAAGAGACTTTTCACCATCTCTCTCTTCACTAGTGGCCACAAATTTTAATTCAGTCTCCGATCGGTTCCTCTCTGTAAGCTCCTAAGGCAAAGATCTGTCTAAGCTCTTTCTCTGAAGCAAATTCTTTCATTTTCGAGATAGCAAAAGCTCCAATCTGGCTAGCAAAGTACTTTTGCCCGTTTGCTTTGGCCCAAATATCCCCATTTGCATCCTGAACAATAATGCACGGGGCCATTTCCATCCCCATTTCTGTCTGAGAGCCTTCAAACCGTTTGGCCGAGGTTCCCACAAGGAGCTCACCCTCGCTGTTAATACCAACCGCTGAGATAGTTCTTTGCGCATTCTCATTCTGCAATACAAGATGGGATCCAATACACTTGAACAAGTAAACTGACTTCCAAAAGATAAAGGCGATAGAGAAAGTTTTTTTTTTTACCTTTTCTTTCATCCGATCGTACTTTCTTGCCCGACAAATCACCTCCTTTTCCTAGGGTTGCAAATACCACCCCTTCTATAATCATCAAAACGACAAGATCAACCCGGCCGGAGATGCTCCGTTTTCCGGTGAGTCTCGGTGGTCCACGCGGCATTCTCACTAAGGCGACAAGCTCCTTCGTACTCCCCCCGCCGATGAACACCCTGTGGCTGTCGACGAGGTTGACTTCTTCTCGGAGAAGAGAGATAGGGTTTCACGTAATAACATGGCCGACGATGACGATGACGACGACAATAGGGTTCACGCTAAAATGGAGATTCCACGGGTCGAAGATGATGATCGATCCAGAGATGTAAATGTATGCTTTCTCTATTTACTTTTGTGGATTTCTTGTTTTTTGTTTTTAATTTTGTTTCCAATTTGAGATCTTTCTTATTTGCATTAGTTATGTCAATATATGTATGTATGTATGTATGTATGTATGTATGTATGTATGTATGTATGTATGTATGTATGTATGTATGTATGTATGTATGTATGTATGTATGTATGTATGTATGTATGTATGTATGTATGTATGAGATCTAGAAAATTTATTATGCGATGTGCGTATATATACAGATCGGATTAAATCTTCTGACGGCAAATATGGGAAGCGACGAATCAACGGTGGACGATGGACTGTCGATGGATATGGAAGAGAAACGCGCAAAGTCTGAGGTAATTTTACTAATTAATTGATTGATACGGACTTTTCTCTTTATTGCTAACAACCAAATCGTTGAATATTCAAACCTGTAACCACACTTTTGACCGATCATTTACACGTTTTTGAGACGTTAATAATATGTAGCTGAGTGAGTATTACAATAAATTTGGATATATATATATATATATATATATATATGCATATAATGAAAAGAGTTATGATGTTTGGTTCGGGGGATTAAACGAAAGAGCAGATGGTGCAGTTGCAAGCAGAGGTACAGAAGATGAACGCAGAGAACAAAAGGCTAAGGGAAATGCTAAGCCAAGCAAGCAGCAATTACAGCTCCTTGAAGATGCAACTTGTCGCTGTCATGAGGCAGCAAGAACATCGTAACTCCTCCCATGACCATCTCCTCGTACGTGTACTCTCTATATATAAAAGCCTTAATTAGACCATACTTTGAGGGTTTCACGTGGCCATTAATTTCGAACGCCAGTAATTGAAGAATATTTCGAATTTGATTTGAAAGTTTGAGATTTTGCATAATCTATGTGAAGATGACATTTTTTTCATGGGTCTTGTAGATTATTCAAGAGACAAGGTTTGATACCAAATATGGTGATCGAAAAACATTGTAACTGTGTATGTGTATATAAACACGGATAGGATAGAAAACGAATGTGTATGCTTGACATATGCACAAAGAGCTGTGCTTTTGCACGGTACATCCAACTGACGCCGAAATTGAAACAAGGGTTCGGAGGGAAAATCGGACGGCAGCAGGAACAGGCAGGAGCCGCCGCCCGTGGTGCCAAGGCGGTTCATTGATCTTGGACCATCGTCTGAGCACGACACCGACGGGTCTTCTGAGGAGAGGACGAGGGTGCGTTCGGGTTCTCCGTCTGGCGGAAAGAGGTTGATTGGGAGAGAAGAAAGCCCCGAATCCGAATCAAACGGCTGGGGAAACCCTAACAAAGTCCCCACTCGTAATAACCCCACCGCCAATGTCATTAATGGTAACGTCGACATGGATCAGTCCTCGGCAGCTGAAGCCACTATGCGGAAAGCTCGTGTATCAGTTCGTGCCAGATCGGAAGCTCCTATGGTATTCCTATGGCTTGGCATGCCACGCAGAAAGTTTGAATCTTTTGTAAATTCTTGGGAACTAATACAAGAAAGATTTGTATGGTAGATGGGCGATGGATGTCAATGGAGAAAATACGGTCAGAAAATGGCGAAAGGGAATCCATGCCCTCGAGCTTATTATCGCTGCACCATGGCAATCGGTTGCCCCGTCCGCAAGCAAGTACGATTACCTTTCATTCTAATCTCTCGTATTATATATATATATAGATAGATAAGTCTTTAATTATCAAAAGTTTGGGACATTACAATGGCATATACAACAGGTTCAGCGTTGCGCAGAAGACAGATCTATCCTCATTACAACCTACGAAGGTAATCACAACCATCCACTTCCACCAGCCGCAATGGCCATGGCCTCAACCACAACAGCCGCCGCCAGCATGCTTCTATCAGGGTCGATGCCGAGCCATGAAGGCCTCATGAACCCCACGAACCTCCTGGCTCGAGCCATCTTGCCATGCTCCTCAAGCATGGCCACTATCTCTGCCTCCGCACCTTTCCCAACCATCACACTAGACCTCACCACCAACTCAGCTAACACAGGCAACAGCCCTAACGCAAACGCAAACAACCCTTTGCTGCAATTCGTGCAACGCCTCCCCGGTTTGGCTGCTGCGTCTGCGTTGAACCCATCGGGCTTGAGCCAGGCCATGTATTATCACAATAACCAGCAGTCCAAGTTTTCCGGTCTGCAGCTGCCGGCGATCGCCTCCGATCCCAACTTGGCCGCTGCTCTCGCGGCGGTCATCACGTCGATCATTAACGGTAGCAATAATAACGTTACGTCGACGAGCAAAGGTGACATTATGGAATGAGAGCTTTGTGTCGGTTTATATATTTCCCCGTCCTTTCTCTATGTTTTTTTAGATTTGTTGTTCTGTAATTACGTACTTTTATATGCTTTTGGTACGCGAGCAACAAAAAATGCTATGAGCATTCCTCTCTCTCTTTAAAAAATTTAAGCTTTATACATTATAAAAGACTTCAAATCTAGAGCTGATTATAAAAAAAAATCGTATCCGAAATCATTTAAGCCACATTATTTCCCCATTTTGGACATGCTAAGCATATGGTTAGGATGAAATATTTTTCTTACTTGAGTTTGTTTCTTATGAAGAACCACTACAACTGTACAATCTCGCACAAATTCAAAGAAGGAGAAACTTTGATTGAAATTCCCAAATTATGGGGATCGAAACGAAAATAAGGTGTAATATAGGGGCGGAAGTGAAAAGTTGCACTCTTCCTGAAACGGCTTTGCTTTGTTGTGCACGTATAGGTCCATCAACGTGAAGGGCTGCTTGTGACACAAGTATACGTTAGGGATTTATTTTCTTTTTGCACCAAAAAGACAACTTATAAACCAATAATACAAATAGACAAAGCAAATTAATAAAGAAATGGAAAATGAAAATGCGTTTTCGAGTTAATTATTTTAAAACAAGGGGGAAAATGGAAAATATTTTGCAACTGATTCTAACAACTGATGCATGTACCCAACAGTTGGTGGCTGAGAGGTGATTATCTTCAAGATACTGGATTCGATTCCAGTGGTGGGGAGGAATATAATTTCTAAACTAAAATGATCCATATATAAAGACTGGTCCCGAACCTAGGGTGGATGTAGTCGGGTCGAACAACCATCCTGGTTATCAAAAAATAAAAAACAACTGATGCATGTGATGCAAATTCTTAAAGTACAGGTCTCAAAATGTAAATTATCTATAATATGGGGGCGAAGGCGTTGTTGATCTGAAAGATCGCAAATTCCGAAAAATTTGAAGTTGCGGGCCAACAGATGTGTTATCAATTGATCGAATTTTTTAAAACTTTTTCTATTCATACTTAAAATAATCAAATAATATTAAACAAACAAAACAGGATTAAGATTGCGCCTTTGTTCACTGTTGTCTCTGTCTTCTACGTATAAATAAATCCCTTCGTCTTCTGTCTCGTCAACTTCGCAAGAATCGTACACCCACATTGTTTTAGCCTTTTAGGTGAGTTTTTTTTTTTGAAGAAAAAAGAGGAAAAAGTTCATGGCTTTTTAAATGATGCCATTTTCTCCCCTGTTTTTTGATGGTATATTCTCTGATTTCATGGCATGTAAGCATCGATTTTTCCCTCTTTTGTCTGTTCCTCGCGACGTTTCCTGGCTTTGGGCTTTCGGATTTGAGATCATTTCTGCTTTGAACAAAAAAAAAAAACTGTAACATTTGTCGCAGTTTCTTATTGGAAGTAAAAACTGTTGGCTTTTCGACTTGCTAGATCCTTTTTAGGGTTTGATTTTGAAGTAAGTTTTGGAGATGGGAATCTGGGCTTTGGTCGTATGAGTAGGAGAAAGGTAAAAGAAAGGGATGAACTTGAGCCCATTGAAGTATCTATGTGGGGATCATCACCTGTGTGTATGGTCGCTCCAGAATTTTCCCGGAAAATTCAGATGATAGAACATGAATTTGAAGCCCGAATCTTTATGTTTTTTTTTTAAAGTTTTGTTTAATCAAATCCTGCGCGTTAGATTTCTTTGATCAGAATCAGTGTCCACATTATCTTTCCAAAACGATTATTTCATGTTTGAGCCCATGTTGCGTAAAGATCGGGAACAGACAGAAGAACGCAAACCTGTCTTGTTGCGTGCTCTTCGCAAAATCTGTTTGCGAAATGATTTCCTCATGTTCTTTTTAAGATATCATTCTATTGAAAGAGTTCAGCTTTATGACACATTTAACTCACACAATCTGTAAGATTGCTATATCAATGGTATCTGTATCTCCTGGTTGCTGCTGTAATCTTTCTCGTATCTAACATCCTTATCCCGACATGAGGATTGGTAAATGATTAAGACAGGTTAATATGGGAACTTCTCTTCGATCTTTGCTGCTGCCTCTGTTGGTGTCGTTCTTGTTTATGTCCTTGGCCTCGTCCGGGAAAAACGATGATGGAATGCTGAGAATTGGATTGAAGAAGATCAAATTGGACCGCAATAACTGGGTTGGTTTGAAGAACTGGTTGTTGGCTCCAGGAGCTCGTCACCGAGATTATCGAATGAGCAATGGAGCTGCCGATATTGTTGCACTCAAAAACTACTTGGATGCACAATACTATGGCGAAATTTCGGTTGGTACCCCGCCTCAGAAGTTTGAGGTGATCTTTGACACTGGTAGCTCAAACCTATGGGTACCATCTTCTAAATGCTACTTCTCGGTATGTGGTTTGATTCCAGTGAAGCCTTTATGATATATAGAAACGCTAATTTCTCGTGAAATGGATTATCGAGAGTGATAACTTTTCATTTTTTATATTTTTAGATTGCGTGTTTCTTCCACTCGAAGTTCAAGTCCAGCGAGTCAGAGACGTACAGAAAGAACGGTTTGTTTCTCTCCACTCGTGCTGTCGTGGAACTATCGATATGAAACTTTTGTTGTATCAGTTGAACTTCTCCTCGGCAATTTGATTCTTGAACTTTGATGTTCTGTTGTGTTCTGTATTGATTCTTTGAGCAATTGATGTGTATGAAGACCTTGTTATGATTTATGCTCATCTTGTTTCCAGATGATCTGACATTAGATCGTTAAAATTTACAGGAAAACCTGCTTCGATCCGTTACGGGACAGGTGCTATTTCCGGTTTCTTTAGCAACGATGACATTACAATCGGAGACTTGGTTGTCAAGAACGAGGTAAACCATAAATCTTGATTCGTCCACTTCGTCTACATCCACTGTTCTTGAATCCCTGTAGTTTCTTGCAATCATACACACATTTCGGGCATGAGTAGGAATTCATAGAGGCGACTAGCGAGCCGGGAATCACATTCGTGATGGCAAAGTTTGACGGTATCCTCGGGTTGGGGTTCCAAGAGATTTCTGTGGGAAATGCAACTCCAGTTTGGTATATGCATCTTCGTTCTTGCTGAGTTTTGAGCTAGAAATCTTTGACGAAACAAGCTGAATTCCGACAGTAAGAACTGAATGTTGCGTACAGGTATAACATGGTAAAACAAGGACTGGTTAAGGAGCCGGTTTTCTCGTTCTGGTTAAACCGAGACACGGATGACGAGGAAGGTGGTGAGATCGTCTTTGGAGGCGTTGATCCCAAACACTTTAAAGGGCAGCACACATTCGTCCCCGTGACACGGAAAGGTTACTGGCAGGTCGGTATAGCTTCTGTTTTCTACTCTTTCATTTTGCGGTTCATTGCTCGATGGAATTTGCTTCGCCGCTTTTTCTCTGGTCAATTTCTTTCCGACGTTCTTTGCAAATACGTTTCTCTGTGTGACAGTTTGACATGGGCGATGTCCTCATCGATGGCGAACCAACTGGTAAGCGATGATGCTTCAGGTTTCTGCACTTTCATGACCAAAGAAGGAAAAGAACGAACTCATCCTTTTTTCGATCCAGGTTACTGTGAAGAAGGTTGCTCCGCCATTGCTGACTCCGGAACTTCTCTGCTGACGGGCCCAACGGCAAGAAAGACTTTCATTTTCGTTCTTCAGAATTCTTGAAAATGTTATTTTTCATCTGTATGAAGTCTTGACCTTTCAACAACAAAAAAAAAATTACTGAAATAGAGCGTCATCACGATGATCAATGAAGCGATCGGAGCAGAGGGAGTCGCCAGCCACGAGTGTAAGATGATCGTTGAACATTACGGGAAAACCATCCTGAAACTGCTCCGGGCACAGGTGATCGCTGGTTTTTTTACACTTTGTCCCGAGGGAATTACACGACACAGAGATCCATGACGAACATAATGTGACTGTTTATGAGGAACTTGGTTACAGGTTCACCCATTGAAGGTCTGCTTCCTGATGGGATTCTGCCTTTTCGACCGCACACGCAGTGTTATGTGAGTACCCACATATCGTTTCCGACAATTCTATATCTCAGACTAATGTTTTGCATAGGATATAAACCAGCTTAAACTGGTAAGAAAACGAAGAAATTGAATGATGGGTTTTAACAGAAGAGGAACTCGCCACTGACTGAGAAATTGAATGATGTTTCTGGTGCAGACCGGACATAGAGATGGTCGTGGACAAGAACGAGGAGAGAGTGTCCGGCGGTGAGAACGGCTTGATGTGTGTTGCATGCGAGATGGTGGTTGTCTGGATGCGGCACGAGCTGAAACGGAACCAGACGGAAGAGGGT